TTCCCTCTTGCTTCAGCTCTCCGACCGATTCGTGAAAATGAATCCCGCCACGAGAGCATCGTCGTCCGGCGACGAGCATTCCGACTACGACAGCGTGCTGACAGAGCCCATGAGCGACGAGGAAGTTATGCCCCAGCTCCGATTTGATGACCCACCGAACGTCGAGGATGGCGCTCAGGGCGATCGGGTTCGCCAGACTTCAGGGGCCAGACTGGCCATGCAGGTGGGTAGAGTTTACTTGTGGAGGCATCTCCCTGGACTTCCCTACCGGTTTTTCTGACTGCTTATATGTGTACTTACATGTCAACAGGTGCAGACGGCGGCCGCACGCGCAGCCGAGGGCAGCGGTACGAACTCTCCACAGCTCGACCCCCTCAGGCAGCTGCAGGTGAACCAACGCCAGCAGCAGGAACTCCTCGCTGCCCCCGAACCAGAGCACGCTCAGCTCGAAGACCACCTCGAGCGCCTGCGTGCGGAACAACTGGAGCTCGAGCAGCGCCGCCAGGAGGAGGCAGCCGCAGCCACCCAGGCCGAGAGGCAGGAGAGGTTCCGCCTGTACCAGCTGCACCGAATCCAGATGATGGCCCAGAGGGAGCGGCAGGTCGCCGCGGAGCAAGAGGGCGGCGTCGGCCACGCCGAGGGTGGCTTGGGGGTGGCACGGTTCTCGTGCAAGGCCTGCCCGGCCAGGTTTACCCACCACAACCTCATGACCCGCCACTTCAGCGACGAGCATCCCGTCGAGAAGCCCTTCCCCTGTCCGGACTGCGGCCGCGGCTACGTGAACCGCGACGTGATGGAGGCCCACTACCTGACGGTGCACCGCGGTGAGCGCCCCTTCCCCTGCGACCAATGCGACAAGGTGTTTAGCAGGGCCGAGTACCTCAAGACTCACACCAGGGTGCACACGGGCTACAAACCATATTCCTGCACTTACTGTCCCCGGCGCTTTGCTTGGAAAGAATGTGTGGACTACCATATCCGCACACATACCGGCGAAAAGCCCTACCTTTGTGTGTCATGCAATCGCGATTTCCGTGGACGGAGCGCTCTTAAAATGCATGAAATGATCCACACGGAGAGCTTTCCGTTTCCTTGCACCCAGTGTGAACGGCGTTTCAGAAGGCCGTACGATCTTCGCGATCACGTTGGAATCGCTCACAACCAGGCTGGCCAGGAAGAGGACCCTGCCGAAGTGGATGAAGTGAGGGAGGAGCGCAATGTCACAAGAGAGGAACAAGATGCTGCCATCGCTGCATTACTCCCAGCAAATGATGAAGTTCTTATTTTATAAATTTTTGGCAGCTTGATGAAGTTGCATACTATTTTCTGTTTTAGGTACTGTTGGTAAAATTATTGTGCCTCTGTCAAATTTCAGTGAGTTTGAACATTGGCATTTATTACTTTTTTGCAGTACAAAAATATTTTACTGTAGGTAAGACTTAAATTTGACTTTCAGTTCTCATTTTAGACTCTAGTGCAGTTCACTAAACAGAGTTTTTTTTTGTGTGTTTTTTTTATATGTATATATTTAAAGTCTGATGTATTGTGTTAATATTTTATTTGCCTGACAGTACAGCACTTATAAATGGTTGCCAGTAATTTAGATTCTCTTAAATAGTTAAATGGAGATAGTTAGAACTTAATTTTGACCGATGCATGACACTTCCCCAATGATTCATTGCAGGTGTTAAATTGCCGTCACTTAATGTGTAGTTCTTTAAATTAGGTCACTTTCTAGTCCTGTTTTGAGCTACTACTTTAGACTTTGTGGTTTAGTGGTAAGTTCTGTCGAGGAACACAGGTGGTCCATTTTTGAAAACTGTTTTTCATCCTTGTTTTATAAAATTTGATTCCTTAGCTGAACTCAGTTCTTTGTAAGTACATAAATGAAGTTTTATTAAGGACTCCTTAACTTTATTGTGTAAAGTTAATTGGTAACCCATAAGTATAATTAACTTTTAATGATGTACACTGCACTCATTTGTTGTTACCTTGGTGTATCAATACTAATAAATGTGTGAATGTTTTAAAAACGTAATAAATTGAACTGTTTTAAGTTTTACTTTTATTGAAGATTTCCAGTCTACATATTGATCAGTCTACTTCCAACTTACTCAAATTTATTGTGTCATTGCTAGGTGCAATCTAAAACTTAATTTGGTAAAATTCTCAGTTTTGTTTGAACACAATGACCAGTAAGAAGTTAACATTTTCCTTAGGAATACATTACAATAGGCTTCACTTGTTCATACTTAATCTGGTTACCTACTGATTTCCTTGACAGGCACTGAAGACTGCTAAATGCCATCACACCAATACCTTTATCACAATACTTGGGCAGGGCAAGGGGTCCCCAGTTCTAAATCTAAAGCTCTTGTAGAAGTACAAGGTGCATGATCTATCACAATACATTGATATTTCCGGTAACATCAATCAATTATCATCACAGTCATGCTGTGTCTGTCTTGAGCAGAAGCAATGATGGAGAGGTTAATAAGTAAGTCCTAAGCTCTAGGACTCTCAAGGGAGGATAAAACACTTGTATAATAAGAAAACTAAACTAGTTGATAACATGTTAACAGGTAAAAGCTTTATGCTGAGATAAAAGACTAAATAACTTTTGATAAGAGTTTTAAAATAGGTAACATATTTTCTCTATATAAATATTTAAAAATGCTTGGACCCTGTGTAACTTCACTAGATTATACAGTAAAAATGTCAGTGCCTTGAACAACTGACTATCCTACCAAAAAGAATAGTGCAATTTTAATTTCAGTTACCCTTTGAAGAAAAATGATGAAACTCTAGCGGTCCATTTTCTGCAGAGAATAAAAACACAGCATAGATTTTCAATAAGCCTTGAGTTTCCTCAAACTATTCCGAAAGGGCCATTTTGAAGTACTACTAATGGCACTCAACCCAAAATACATTAATTAAAAAATATAGGCGTTACTAAAATTGTCACTAGTTATAAGTTCTTTTGCATGATGTACATTAGAGGACCAAAATATAACAAGCTTGACATTCTTGGTAAAGTACCACTTCCATTATCACTAGGAGCATCACCAGGATAACAACTTGTTCCATTTTCCTGCAAAAATAAAACAATGAACACATTTGTTTTAACCATGAGAGAGGTTGTAACAGGACTAACGGATTAATTATAGTTGGTGTAACAAGACAATAATGACTTACATTTCTGGTATAGCTGTAACACTTGTGCTTGCGCTCTCTCACAACTTTCTGATGAATACAATAATCAGGACCAGCATCTATATATAAAGAGGTATTGAATTGTTAGCTCTTGAATTGAGTATTGAAGTAATGTGTCATAAGTGAAAAACTTATTAAAATGCTTACCTTCTTGAGGGAAGAAGGATATTGGGATGGATGGTTCTGCACAACTACACATTGGTTGAGAGATTACAAGAGTGGCACTTAAGAAGTTCATAGGAGCAGCATAAATAACTCTAGAACAATCTCCACAACCAAACTGGTATTCCATGGGGCGGGAAAGACTGTCACTCAACACAAGCCACGATCCTTTAGTAATGCAACTGTAATTTCGACGTATGAGCTCCCACCCATAAAAGGATTTCACAGGTTTGGGTTGAATCCATGAAATAAGACTGAAATTGATTTTTAAAAATAAATATCAGTAATCAGTACTCTCAAGATTATTTTTTTTACAATTTTTTAGTGATGATAAAAAACAAAAACATTTTACCTCTGGAAAAGCAATTGTGCACTAGATAGCCCAGCCCACATATTTCTTAAAATAGAAGCAAGAGAAGAGCTGAATCTTGCAGAGGATTGTGTTGCTTCACTTGCCCCTCTTAAACACCATGCTTGCAAGTTATAACGCTCTTGCAGTCGGTAGAATCCTTTTTCTAAAAGGCTCTCAGTCAGTTGCGGGTCTACCACACCAATAAAATCCCCTGTCTGGCAAAAAAAACAAAACAAAACAAAAAAAAAGCAATAAAATAATAGAATTTAAATTTGAAATGAAGTTTTTACACATATTTTAGTATGTAAACAGAGCTTTACTGGCTTATCTGGTTGATTAGATGCCACAATGAAACCACCATCATCAATTAAGTAGCAGTTGTGTTGGAGTTGAAGTTTCTCATTATCACCACAGTAAAATTGCAAGACACTATTGAAATCGGCCTGAATAAGTTTTTGGTCCAGCTCAACTCCAGCAACTGCAAACAATAGTGAGGGAAGGTACTTAGAACATTTTTACACTATAAATTGCACAAGTTATCAGCATCCACACACCTCCTACGTTCACAGTTTCACTTCCTTTCTCATAAGGAATGGGACATGTGATGAATACATAACTGTCTTCGGTTTTAGAATCATCCCGGTTGAGGGTAGGTGTAAAAACACACTGATTCCTTGCCATAGCTCGAAGGTACTTATGGTTCTTGTGCGGATTCCTGGTTCCCTCATATTCTGCCAAACGACTAAATGGCAAATAATGGGGTTAACATACTGATAGAAGTATTAACACATTGAGTCCCATGTGACCACCTGAATGGCCACAGCATGCTGCGTTTCCTACCCCCACTGGGACTCAAGGTGTTAAAAAGTAAATTAAAAAGCCTTGAGAAAAAGCACAAAAACAAATATGTGGTTAAATATACCTGATAGGTCGAACAATAGTAAGACCACCTTCTGTGCTGATAAAACGGCTTCTAATACCCTGTTTTTCTGGACCAGTCTTTTCCCATTCAGCAATCAAAAAACGTGTTTTATCCATGTCCAAGAGTAGATGGCGGAGCAACCCAACATTACCTAAGATAATGAAGAAAGTTGTATAATTGATTGAGTTTTTGATTGGATACAGGAAGATGAGAATATTTAATACGAGGGGCCCACAACTCTTGAATTCAAGTCTCCAGGCCCTCAAAATCACTGAAATAACATGAATTCCTCCGAATTCCCAGGAAATCCCTTGAATCCCCTAAATTCGTTCAGAAATCACATTAAAATCCTTTCAATTCATTAGAAATCCCTCCAATTCATTACTAATCAGCCTAGCATCTGCAAAATTTAGTCATATTAAATCATCTCAATTCATTTGAAATCTGTGGAATTTACTTGAAATAATTAGAAATCATGCTGAAATCAAAGGGAATCCAGTTTGAAATCAGTAAAATCACGTGAAATCCTGAAATTAGGTGTATGAGACTTTTTGGAGCTGCTGGCCCCTCAATGTAACAGAAGGGACCTCACATTTATGTTGTTTTTCAGTGACAGACATGATCAATTCTTCAATAAATTCTTGGGAATCTGTGTTGGTCTGAATATCAAAGCAGTATTTCCATGGTGCTAGTAATGTACCAGGAAGATTGCGAAGACTACTGAAGTGGTCTACATTTAGAGGTGTGTTTAAAACATTTATCACATTATGTCCAGGAGGTATAGCTAGACCCATCCTTAAAAGAAACAGAAAATTTAAAATTATGTAGACACAAATGAGGAAAAAATTACATCACAAATGGTAAATGGTTTACCTGAAATTTGACGTTTTGAGGGGTCCATAAAAGTGATTCATAGAAATAAGTATTGCACGTCCAAGATCAACAGGTATGATTGCCTGTGGATACATATTGTGTCCAAAGTGACCCCTAACTATTGATTCTCTCATCCGTTCCAAGACTTCCCAGTCAGACCCTTCAGCTTCAACCAAATCTATGTTTGGTGGGTCTTCACCCTGTTCAAAAATAAACCAAAGGCATTAAAAAGTCATGACCTGAATGGATTTTTTCTGTTTTCGTTTTATATCAGCCCAGCAGACATGTAAACACAAAAGAAAGGAAAAATGCTGGTACTTGATAATTTATTATTACCTGCAAGAATGACATGTGATGATGAAGTTGTGGGTGGAAGACAACGAAACCATTGTTATTTATGGCATAGGGGTATCCAAAAGAGCCCAGCAAGTGCTTTGGAAAAAGATCCTCCAGGTTGCTTGTGGGGATGTCAGTGCCCACAACACCTAGGAGAAGTGGATCACGCTGGAACAAAAATTAATTTTAATTCTACATAGAATTTTTGTTTTTTCAGTAAATTATTATTGATATTTTTTTTTTTCCTTTGAAACTAACCACATCAAAAGATGAACTACCAACCGGCAGAGTTACAGTGATAACTGGTCCAAGTCCCTGTGGAGATGAAGAAAAGTAAGTCAAAATTGAATCACACCACATACCATGTTCCATTAACTGAAATGTAAAGTGAAAATAGAGACATACTCCTTTGTCTATGTAAACATTGTGCCAGTGGAAAAGATCTTTAGTTGCTCCATCAGACAAAACAAGAGGGCGGCCCAAAACACGAACATAATCCTGCAAATTTGGAACTGCTAAGAAACATTTCATTTTTGCTGTTGTAGAAATTTAAAAATTTTTCTGTGCAATACCTGAATGCGATTTTGTATGGCACCCAATGCTGTAATGCTACTGAAGTACCCTCTAGTCTTACAGGCCATACTTTTGAGAACAACAGTAGGAATTGGGTGGGGACCACATCCAAATGTGAAAACTCGGACACAGTCTTCAGTTGACTCATTACAAAGATGGGCACTTAGCTCATGAGGCCATTCAGTCCCACCATCACTGAAGAACATTATAGCCTTGTGACAATTTGCACCCTCCCATGGCTCACGGTCTTCCGAAAACTGCAGTGTGCAAGCACAGAAACATGTACGTGAGTAGAAACATAGGAGATAGATTTCCCTCCAATAATGAAGCAGTATTCATACCTTAATTTTGTCCTGCAGCACCTGAGGCCAATACTACCTCTAGTATGATGATAGTTGAATAATAGATGTCCTACTAAATGTGCACCATCATAATTAGCCATGCACTATTTCCTGGCTGAAGAGAGTAGGTTAAATGCAATTTAACATGCAGACAACACAAACTCCAAAAGCGCCATAGTGGGCCTACAAATAAAAATCATCGCATTCTGTATAAAACAAAAGCCATTTCTACTGTGCTCCATAGAACATGCAAGACAAAACAAGATACATATGCATCTTGCCACGACTTTCACTCAAGAATTGTGAAATAAAATATTAAAGATTAAAGGAGAGCAACTGAGTAAAATTATTTTAAAATATACATGTAAGTGCTACAGTTTGAAAAGTGAAAATCTTACTAGTAACATAGACCATAAGAACATAAATCCATGCTTGAGCTAAATGTTAGATTGTATATAAAAACTCACCCTTTGAAATGCATCATATGCAAACTCCAGAGCAGTTTCGTAGCTGGTTAGGTTGCTCTCATGGAGACGATCAACAGCATCTAATAGTACTCGCTTGTTTTGACTGGTAGCTGGCACCAGACTGTCCATACAGGGAACAACCCAGTTGACTTCATTGTTGAACTGGTAAAATATGACCATAAAAGAATCCATCAAAATGGAAGCTTTGGAAAGTTTATAAATTTTAGGAATTTTAAGGAAAAAAGTTAAAATAACATTACCCATGCTACATTAACATAATCATCTTCAGAGAGGGTCTTTATCAGAGCCTTTACAGCTATTTTCATAATATCTATTGTCTGACCATGTACACTTCCACTCCTACATAAAATATATAAGGTAATTAACAATAAATAATTAGATGACCACAAAATAATAATAATAATTAAGAAAATGGATATTGGAAAACATTACTTGTCAATCAAGATTATGATATCTTTTGGAGAAGAAATGCTGTGTATATACCACGATCTTCGACGAACATCATACAAATCAGGTGGATTAAGGTTTTCAGGCCATCTGAAAATGGTAGTGTTAACAACGTGAAACAAAAAAATAAACCAATACACTAATATACTTGTCTATATACCTAAGAGCAGGATATATACGCATGAAGCCCCGTGCACTGCCGAAATACTGCCAGCGTAGCGTTGGATCTTCTTCAAAATTCTTTGCAAAGACTTTATCTAAGGCTGCACTCCACCGTAACCCATTCAAAATTTCTGGATCTGCAAGCAGGAAAATTAAACATAAGATTAAGTTAGATGTGACATATTTTATTGGTCAAGGCAATGAAAGGCATTCCAATTCAGAATTCTTTCATACCCAAAAAGTTAATTTTGTAAATAAGCATGCTTTGCTTTCTGAAATTTTGACCAAAATGTTTACATGGTATAGCGGTCAAAATAATACACTGGGTTAAAGCAAAGACAATTTTTCTTACATACCTTATCGTATTCCTAAAATGTATTCTGATATGATTACAGTAAGGTCTGAAATCATACAAAAGCCACAAGAGAGAAACTTAACATAAATTTTATTGTTTGCCCACAGAACATGCATCTATCAAAGCAAGCAAAACTGCATTTTAGAGCCATGATGTGTAATCAAGAGGAAAATTTTATCCTATGAGTGGGAAAGTCAAAGTGTATCAAGACTTATTCTTCTTATTTATTTATTATTCTTTATGATGGCCGAGAATCCGGGAGTCTTGATCAAATTGGTTGAACACTTAAAAGAGCAAAACTAGGGCCCTTGAAATCTTCAGTTTACCGAGAAAAAGCAGAGGGAAGCATTGGGGAAGGAGGAGGAGGGGGGTAAATATGTGAATCATCACTTACGTTTCATAAATTTTGAAAGACTTCATTCAATAATATAAACCAATTGATGAAAGCTACAAAACAAAGACAAAAAAGATAAGAAGCTGCCTTTAAAATTGTTATCTGATTCTTACCCACACCCACTGTCTCCGAAAAGTGCAGTAGAATATTATGTACAGGAAAGCAATGGGTGCAGCTGCACTAGGCTACTTACTCAGTGTCACTTTGTTGAGGCCAATAATTTCAATATGGAAAGTACATTCGTGTGAATTATAGAGTTTGTATAAGCCAAATAGATAAGTACAAAGAGAGATAAATCAGCTTCAAAAAATAAACTGCTGTACATTAACTGGATTTGGTGACCATCCAGATAGTGAAAAAGCCCTACAAGCTTTGCAAGAGGCATCTTTTAATTATTTTTTTAAAGGTTTATAATTGTAGACATTGGAATCAATATCCTACACAACCTGAACATGCTAAGCCAAGGCCTTACAGATGTAGGCAAGATCAAGTGAAATATTAGGACTTTGATTCACATACCATGACCCCAAACCACTTTGAAGAGGGAGCCCATCCCTAAAACAAAAAAATAATTCCAGAAGTAGTCAACAGATAGATGTTTTATAAGAACAGTTAAGATGTCGTTCCTCCCCATTGAAAAAAAGCATAAACACATACATATGGAAATTGCTTTATGAACATGTCATTTGACCAAATGAAAAGTTCTACTTCTATGCACCAGAACTACCTCTAGTGAAATTAATTCAGAGAAATACATAGTATAACTGGCTTACTCTTGGGAATGAGTATGTAAGGTATATTGATGAGGATTCATTTGGCACTGAGACATTCCACACTCAGAAGAAATAACACCCGGCATCATGGAATGAAGGATTTAGATGCATGCCAAACACATAAACATCTAAAATGCACACACGCGCACGCGCGCAAACACACACACACACAATGGTGTACAACGTTGAAACTGAAGTAAGCACACAATCTTTCCAGTCAGTCATGATTCAAAGAAAACTACTTACTTAATACTACTGTCAACATAAAATAGTAATTATTCAAAATTTAGTTTTTACTTAACTTTTTGAATAATTCATTTTAATTAGACAGAGAGGAAATAATGAAATTTTATAATTATTTAAAAATTATCTAATCATGACTGATTTAGACAGAATAAATGTGCTACACACAAGTGTGCACGACTATACAGGGTGGCCCGTTTGCACCGGTGTGTCTGTAAGTATGCAACCCAATCTACTTCAGCTCAGCAAGGGGAGTAGGTGAGCCCTCCCCACTTCCCCCCTTGCCTCCTCTCGCACCTGAAGTAGAATGGGTTGCATACTTACAGAAACACCTGTGCAAACAGGTCACCCTGAAGGTGAGAATACCAAGTTAAGTCTTTCAAAATATATCACACCCAGTACCTATGGATGAAATAAAACAAACGTAAATGCCATTTCAAAGAAGTACTGATGTGTTCTTGATTACTCAAATAAAAACAAAAAAACAAAAACAAAAAATGATTTTTGTTTTGATGAACATCATAATGAACACATAAAGTACATTTTAAAAAAGCCTTTCAATGTGGTGGCTTGAAAAACAGTCAAAGCGGGCATGTTTTTAACTGCATGACAACAAACTGAGAGGTGTCTTAAATTCTCAGATTTTGATACATCAAACAAATCAACACCTTTAAAGGGAAGATCCTGGGGCTTCCCTGTCTGGAGGGTCCCCCTAGGATTTTTTACTATTTTTTCTAGTTTTTGTTAAAACATGAGTTTTTAACATTTAAAAATTATTAGAATGTTCCAATATTATTTACGACTAATTCTAAAGGTCAGAATGACCTAGAAATTTTGAATATTGCTTCTAAATGTTGTGTTTGTCCGGCTCTTGCTCTCAACATGAATGTTTTTATTTGCTAGCAGCGATCTGTCCAGGAGACATCAGGCTATAAAAATTTATGGTAGTGTTCTCTATTTAGTAGCACTTTTTTTGAAGTGAGAAAATGTAGTGCACTTTCAAGTGGCTAGCACATCAAAAAGTCGAAAAAAATGTCACTGCATTCTGTTCAGCAAGTGCAGTGTCCAAGTGTCCATTGCAAGGCGAATCACTACAAATATTGCCCCGCACTAAATGTACCAAAAAGATACGGAGTAACATTTTTGTTTGACATTTGGATGTGTCAAGCACTTGCAAGTGCACAACATTTCAACACTTCAGAAAAAATCTTACTGCATAGAGAATAAGCCATTAATTCTCTTAGCCAGTTGTCTAGTAGACAGATTGCAACTGACAATCAACACTCAAGTTGAGAGCAAGAGCCCGACAAACAGAACATTTGGAAGCAGTATGGAAAATTTCTAGCCCACCCTCACTCTTAAAATTAGATTTAAAAAATATTGGATTTTTAAAATTAATATTGAAATGTTAAGAAAAACTTTTTTTTTGTAAATAAAAGCTTTACATAATTGTAAAAAATTAAGGGGGGGGGGGGCTCTAGACAGGGGACCCTCCAGATGTTTCCCCCTTTAAGAATCCTATTCTAAAAATGGAAATACTAATCTGTGGGAGAGAATCACACTACTTCCTTTAAAAATTCCACCATCCAGTTTGTTAGTTGTGCATGATTCAATATTAATTTTATTTTCATTAGAAGAGTTTCAGTAGCAACAGCAACTGTAAGTGCAAAAACAAACTAGGAAGGGAGTGATTTGTAATCACAGTATGTATACGAGAGAAACATTTTGGTGAAACAATTAAAAAGCAACTTGATTCTCCCAGCTAAGAGGAGCAGCTGGTTGGGCTCAAGCAATGCTGTTTCCACACTCTAACACCAAATCACTTATCACACTTTGGTACCTGCACTCTGCTTCGAAATAAAAGTTCTGCCAACGACAAGGCAATTTTTTAGTTTTTTTTTAAATCACAACAAAACCGTCTAGTTTTGCTGACTTTTAAAGTTAATGTGCAATTAATGCGCACATAAACTTACTATATTTCAATAAGAATTTAAATTGAAAAATGTATTTGTTGGTCAGAGGCCTGACAGCCGTGAGTCACAAACTCAACAAATATTTGGAAACCAAAGTCTTTGGTGAAACACATACACTGGAAGAGATAAAACCCTGAAGGACCTTCTGTTCCTGCTAAAACTGAAATAAATTTGATGTATACCTTGAAATTTTAATGCATCTAAATAGCAGCCGGTAACTTATGGGCAATTAAAATTTTTGATGCATGGCTATTAGATATTCATAGACACTTTTAGTTTAAGTGAACACACTAGCAAACTGATCTTTCACTTCAGCTGCCAAACTGCAAAAACGATTTGAAACTTTACAATTGGAAAGAAAGGAAAACACATGCTGAAAGAATTTAAATCAATCCCTACAGATCTACATTCTAAAATCATGTTCATCATCTAAGAAGATGCAGTTCCAGGATTCCTGTCTTTTAGGGTTGTCTATTGTCTAAACATGACACACACAGAAAAGGGATGGAGATGCTAAATTATTTTTCTAGACGAAATAAGAGAATGCTGATCAGTTCATTTCCCTTCAATATCTATGGCCACGCATGCCCTGGCCCTAGCAAACACACAACACACGAAGGCAATTATATGCAATTTGGAAAAGATATAAAAAAAATAAAATCACTGTTTTCAGACCTGTCACAAAATATCAAAAATATGCCAATGAATTCCAATAACATTGCAAACCCTATTAAGAGTATCCAAAGCTAGTTTTAACAGAGTCTGGAGCTTCTTTTTAAATAGAGCAGTTTGACATATGAAAATTATAAATAATTATTGCTTATAACCGACCACTGATCTTCACTGACAAAAATCTTTGACAAAATAGTAAAATTTGATGCTATAATTATCAGGAAATGGATTAAAGAATAAATTCAATGGAATCATATGAGAAATACTAGGTGATACTATATTGTGACAGCTCTGCAACCAAACCAAAAAATTTTCCTTGAAATATACAAGTCAGCACTAGTCAATCAGTTTTAGCAGGCACCAACTGTGGTCAAACATCTTGCTTCATGCTCCCTACGTACGCCGGCCTTTCCGTGAGATGCTAGGAGCAGGTGTAAAACTGGATGACCGCTTTGGGCAGCCGTCACCCTTAGGGAGCTCTGCGCCCCCCTTCCCCGCTGCACGCGCTATGCTGGTGGCAATGCACCGAGCATGGTTGTGTCCTAAAAAACACCCCACTCAATTCATCATTCCTGTGCTATGTTTGTTGTGTCTTGTGAAGTGAACCATTCACATTCTTACGCCTGTGGAACAATACATGCACAAGACTGCAAGATTGTTTCAGTAACATTATTCCTGGCATAACAGGTTGACTGGTGCACCATTTGACCATAAATACAGTAGATACTTAGGAGACATTACATAAGGATAAGATTGTCAAAGAGAAGTGACCTTTCAACACACTGTCCTCCCATACAGGCATGCAGTGTCTGAGGAATATTTTAAAGGTGAGCTTTTTTAAAACATTGAGATTCGTGCAAACTACACATGAATAATGACAAAACATCAAACAATGTAAAAATATCTGAATTACTTTGGCTCTTGTCTGTAGTTAATGTAAAAAAAAAATTGTTTAAGATTGAAGAGAGTGGACCACACAATCAAAATGCAAATAAAACAAGTAAATGTTTGAAAAAGTGCCAGCCCTGAGAATAAAACAGGATTTGGTAACGTACTTATTAATTAATTTCCCTAGTCAAAAACAAAAGTCAGTCCCACATTAAAGAGACAACAGCAGTTGTCAAAAGCACAAACACAGTTTTTTCCATATTAGTAAGTATACATGATATTGATCTCATAACTGTCATGCATCACAAAGTAAATGAGGACATTATAAAAGTGGTTAGGGATCAAGCAAAACGGTTTAAACATAAAGTTAGATGGCATAATTTTTCCAAAGTTCTGCAAGAAGTGTTCTTTGAAAATTTTCTCTAAAGTAAAATTGTTGAAATAGAGATAAATAGATCACTTCATCAATATTAGAGTAATAATGCTAATGCCATTAGCCAGAGGAGGGAAAATTTTACAAACCACTGAAACACAGCTTATATAGATGCTAAGTTGTAGTTATTAACAGAACTGTAGTGTAATATAACAAGTTGTACTTACATCCTTCATAGATTTCGAGAGGAATGTGAACTCCTGAGCCATTCATGGATACATTCTGACCAAAGGAGGGTATATACATGAGAGCACCTTCCTCTTCAGCCTCTGATCCTTTCACATTGAAAAACTGTACTCTGCGAAGGGTCAATGTTAAGTCCTCTTCATGATTATCTTCAGCATCCTTAGCTGCTTCATATAGGCGCTGCCAGAAGAGATTTCATTTAAAAATCTACAGGTTGGTGAGGAGGTACACAGAATAAATAGACTACGATATTCAAGGAAATGATCAAATTCACCTTCAAAGCTTGCTCCTTTTTCAATAGGAATGAGTCAGCTAGTGTTAAAACTTCCTCCAGTATTTTGGTCCCATTTACTGGTATTAGTTTGATGTCATACGAGTTTGAATAAGCCTGAATGGAGGAGACTTTGAGATTAAGATAACATTCCATATCACTGGCATGGAGGCATCCCCTAACAATTAATATACCTCGGATGCAGTTTTAGTTCTCAAAATGTGAGACGCTGTGGAAAGCAGCTTTTCCTCCAAGCTGGAAGACAGCTGAGAAAAACTGTAAAAGAAAATAAGAAAGTGACACGCTACATGTAAGAGGTAATAGATTATAAAAATGTTAGATCACTAATAACCAGTGAGGAGTCATATGTATGAATGACTACCAACAAAGTGTGATTGGCAAAACAACACGATAAAGAAAATTGTAGTGTTTGGAATAGAAAAACTGTTTTTAAAACAGTATGAATTTTATTTGACAGTAACCAATTAAGAAAATGATGAAATGTGATAAGATAAAATAACGAAAATGAAACGGCCGCTAGCATTGAACGAACAGTAACTTACGTTTCCAAATCAGGAATATAATCACATGATACACGAATAGAAAAGAGTGTCAACAACGATAGAGTTGTTTTCCACATTTCTTTTGGACCCATTTGAATACGTTCACTAGTTTATTCACTCTAGACACTCTAAATTGAGACACCAAAATCTAGCAGACGACTGTAGTGGAGTGCGT